CAGAATAAAAATACTTTATTTGAACAAGTGTGATTTTTCTCTGCTGCAGAAGCTCTCAATGTACATACAGGTAGTCCTCAATTTATGACCGCAACTGAGCCCAAAAGTTATGTTGTTAAGCGAGACCTTTGTTAAGTGATTTTTGGCCCATTTTACTACCTTTCTCGCACCATCGGTAAGCGAATCACTGCAGTTCTTCAAAGAGTAACACCCTTGTTAATGAATCCGGCTTCCCCATTGCTTATCAGAACATTGCAAAAGGGGATCCCAGGACGCCCCTAGGGACACAGCAACTGTCATAAGTACAAGTCAGTTGCCAAGCATCTGAATTTTGATCACGTGACTGCTGGGAGGCTTGCAAAGGTCATCAGTGTGAAAAACGGTCCTAGGTCAACTCTTTTCAGTGCCGTTGTAACTGTGGTCACTAAGTGGACCGTTTCTAAGGTGAGGACTACCTGTACAAATGACAAGACTGTACAATTCCTCTTCGGAACCGGATCAATAGCTGAACCATCGCTACAAAAAGTCTGAAAATTATGGATATCAAAGGTTAAATTGGAATATTGATGGGAACCTAAAAATTGGGGGAAAAATGAATAGCAGGATGTGAAGTTGAATATAAAAAGAAATTTAAAATTATGTAAAATTAATAACAGGATATGGATGGTTTATGAAGATTGAATGTAATTAAGATATGTATAAGCTAAAAAATTATTGATAAATGTAATAATGTTTTAGTTGAGTTGACCTCCAAGGTCCCTTCCAACATTATTATTATTATGGATCATCGCACAGTCAGCCAGATGTTCAGACTGGATTTGGCATTTTGTCTATCTATCGAGTCCTTACCCAGGACCTGGGATAGGCAGATGTGGATGTTTGATGGTATTACAGGTATCGTCGCAGGATGGAAGCAGTTCCTAGTAAGGCTGCCTTTTGCAATTGACTAATGGCAAATTTATCAATGCCAATGATGGTGTTCAAGTGGTGCTCCAGTTGTTTTGGGACTGCACCCAAGGTACCTATTACTATTGGTACTACCCTTGCTTGCCTTTGCCACATCTTTATTATTATTATTATTATTATTACTATTGATCATTGCACAGTCAGCCAGATGTTCAGACTGGATTTGGCATTTTGTCTACCTATCGAGTCCTTACCCAGGACCTGGGATAGGCAGATGTTGTTGTTGTTGTTATTATTATTATTATTATTATTATTATTATTATTATTATTATTATTATTATTAATGTTCTAGCTTGAATACGAGACAGTAAATGTTAGGGGAAAAAGAGAAGAAATATCTGATGTTGTATGTAACCTGAGATTTTCACTAAAGATTTGTTATGGAACGATGGATTAACCCAGTCACCACGTTGCTTTTTAAATGCTCGAATGTAAAACTGGAAAATTAATAAAATCGTATAATAAAAAAAAAATCAGGCCTGCTCACGTGGGTTCCTCAAATTATGACTGTTGCAACTTTCAAAGGAAATTCCGGGCTGCCACACAGTTATAAACTGAGGAAGAATTGAACAAGCCCGGTGGGGACATCACGTTTCTCAAATGACACCCATTGTATGACTCTGGCCGTTTGCGTGACGGTGTCGGGACACCCATGACCTCACAGCAGCTTCCCTGGGATGGTCCAGGACTGTGTAGCATGACTCAGAGTGAAGAAATATTAGGCAATTTCAGCCATGTTGCTTCATTGTCACTCCAAATAACCTTCTTTAAATCCCTCATTTTTCTTCCATCTTTCCCCTTTCCGTTCAAAATCACAATTAATCAGAATAGAACTGGAAGGGACCTTGGAGGTCTTCTAGTCCAGCCCCCTGCTCAAGCAGGAGACCCTAGATCAGGGGTCTTCAAACTTAGCCCTTTTATGACTTGTGGACTTCAACTCCCAGAATTCCTCAGCCAGCCATGCTAGCCCAGGAATTCTGGGAGTTGAAGTCCACAAGCTATGAAGGGGCCATAGTTCCCCCAGGCTGGCTGAGGATTTCTGGGAGTTGGTCCACAAGTCATAAAAGGGCCATGTTTGAAGACCCCTGCCCTAGACCATTTCAATCAATCAATCAATCAATCAGAATAGAGCTGGAAGGGACCTTGGAGGTCATCTAGCCCAACCGCCTGCTCAGGCAGGAAACCCTATATCATTTCAGACCAATGGCTGTCCAGTCTCTTCTTAAAAACTTTCAGTGTTGGAGCATTCACAACTTCTGGAGGCAGGTTGTTCCACTGGTTAATTGTTCTAACTGTCAGGAAGTTTCTCCTTAATTCCAGGTTGCTTCTCTCCTTGATCAGTTTCCGTCCATTGTTTCTCGTCCTTCCCTCTGGTGCTTTGGAGAATAATTTGACCCCCTCTTCTTTGTGGCAGCCCCTCAAATACCGGAACACTGCTATCATGTCTCCCCTGTTTCTTCTTTTCTCTAGACTGGCCAAATCCAAGTTCCGCAGCCGTTCTTTGTATGTTTTGGTCTCCAGGCCTTTGATTAAATAAACTATGATTTATTTAGTACTAACACCACTCTATAAAGCCTTAGTAAGACCACACCTAGAATACTGCAACCAATTTTGATCACCACGCTATAAAAAAGATGTTGAGACTCTAGAAAGAGTGCAGAGAAGAGCAACAAAGATGATTAGGGGACTGGAGGCTAAAACATATAAGGAACGGTTGCTGGAATTGGGTATGTCTAGTTTAATGAAGAGAAGGACGAGGGGGGATTTCCAATATCTCAGGGGCTGCCCCAAAGAAGAAGGAATCAAGCTCTTCTCCAAAGCCCCTGAAGGCAGGACAAGAAGCAACGGATGGAAACTCATCAAGGAGAGAAGCAACCTGGAATTAAGGAGAAACTTCCTGACAGTTAGAACAATTAACCAGTGGAACAACCTGCCTCCAGAAGCGGTGAATACTCCATCCCTGGAGATTTTTAAGAAGAGATTGCACAGCCATTTGTCTGAAATGATATAGGGTTTCCTGCCTGAGCAGGGGGTTGGACTAGATGACCTACAAGGTCCCTTCCAACTCTATTCTTCTAATTGAATCTAATCATCCAACTTCTAGAACTGACCCAGACCTCCCAATTCTTGGCCACCCCATGGGGAGAAAAATTAAAAATAATCAAAGAGGATATGGATTTTTCTGACCAATGTCAAGAAAAAACCTGAGTGATCTTTGTCTTCCTACTTCCTACTTCAACTCACCTGGACAATGGTCAATAATTATCCAGAGAGGGGATTTGGGGAGGCCTTGAATGAAGAGAGGAAAAAACTTTAATCCGTTACTTGCCGGAACTTCTGCTGGAGCTTGGTGGGGCATCTAGCCGGGAAGACTTCTTATCAATCCTTCCACAAAGGGACGGGAACCTCACCTGGAGACGCCTCTCCCAGGCTTTTGCAGGCTTTCGCAGGAAGGATGCGCTTCCTAAAGCTGGTTGGACCATCACACCTCCACACATGCTATTCTTGACCTCTATTTCCTCCCACTGAGTCACCACCTCCTCAAAGCTGGCTTAGGAAGCAGGCAATATATAAAAGTTGTAGGAGCTATCTCAGAGGACATAAGTACAACTGGTCGTTCAGTGGGAGAACAAGTACAGGGCGATCTCCTGGATGATGTCAAGAGATGGACCTTTGGACCTTTGGCAACCCAGTAGAGCAGAGGTCCCCAACCTGTGGGCTGTGGCCTGGTAGCGGGCCGTAGCCTGCTGGCCACCGGGCCGCGGGACAGGCTGGCCAGTGTGCACAGGTGTGCGTGCACACCTGCTCACTTGTGCTAGCGCGCGACCGCGGGGTGCAAAACCAGAACACCGCGCCACGGGGTGCAAAAACAGGCTGCTGCTGTGCCTCGGGGTGCGAAAATGGGGCACCGCTGCACCGCGAGGCACACAAACAAGCCACTGCCGCACTGCGGGGTGCAAAAACGGGGTGCCGCCTTGCTGCAGGGTGCAAAAATGGACGTCGCCGTGCAGAAATCGGGTGCCACTACTCCACAGGGTGCAAAAACGGGCCGCTGCCGTGTAGCCAGGCGCAAAAATGGCCACCCAGCGCCCCATGGGACGCAGAAACAAGGCACTAGTGAAGCAGGGCAGGGCAGGGCTAGTGACTATCATTCAGGCACCTGCCCAGTGCTGTTTGCACACGCACGTAAAGTGCTTCCTCCTCCCTTTTCCTCTGGTCTGCCAACAGACAAAGGTTGGTGACCTCTGCAGTAGAAGTCCTGCTTGGATGGCACAGAAATGCAGAGAAGAGCAACAAAGATGATCAGGGGACTGGATCATATAAGGAACGGTTGCTGGAATTGGGCATGTCCAGTTTAACGAAGAGAAGGACGAGGAGGGACAGGATAGCAGCGTTCCAGTATCTCAGGGGCTGCCCCAAAGAAGAGGGAGTCAAGCTATTCTCCGAAGCGCCTAAAGGCAGGACAAGAAGCAATGGATGGAAACTCATCAAGGAGAGCTTCAACCTAGAAATAAGGGCTGGCTGAGGAATTCTGGGCGTTGAAGTCCACAAGTCTTAAAAGTTGCCAAGTTTGAAGACCCTTGATCTAAGTCAGTGGTTCTCAAGCTTTTTAATGCCGCGACCTCCAACCGGTCGTAAGTCAAGGACTACTCAACCGGTCGTAAGTAGAGGACTACTCAACCGGTGCAGCACCGTTTGCAGAATGGGACTTTTGGCGGGCTCAGCAGGGAAGAGACAGCCTGGACAATTCCTATTGGCTTTGGAAAGCCAATAGAATTAGACTCTATTCAAGAGAGTCTATTCTATTGGCTTTCAAAAGCCAATAGAATAAAAGGGAGGAGCACAGCTAAGGAAAAGGGGGGGGGGAAATGGCGGACTGCGTTGTTTGGCGACCCCCATGAAATGGTCGTTCGACCCCAAATGGGGTCCCGACCCACAGGTTGAGAACCACTGATCTAAGTTCTTAGAAGTCTGTTTCTCTTTTCTTTTCTTTCTTTTTCTTTTCTTTTTTTTTACACACGCACCCAACTTACTTCGGAACAAAATGTTCAAGCCCCACTGCAGATACCACATTACTTCCTCTCCATGTGGGTCATCATTGGCTGGCTAGAAACTCAGAACTCAGAACATCCTGTTCTCGCAGGGAAGTGCACATAGGAGGTTGGCCTGCGGTGTAAGACTCCCGAGTTAATCAACAATCTTAGGCAGATGCGTGTCCTGGCCACTTCCTCCTCCGGCGGCCTTTGCATATGGGACGGGAGCTTAGCAATCTTCCCAAAACAATCAGGAAGCCGTGGGGGAGGCTGGATTGTATCTCCCACCGGCCTGGAATGTCAGGCGGCATTTTAGCAGACAAAGAGAGGAAATGAGTGGGTCCCATCAGGTCCTGGGTGCTCTCTGAGCCGGGTGGTTTTCTGGCAGACGTCTCATGACCCAACGAGGGAACCTCATCAGTGCTAGAAGGGAATGGAGGAGGAGGAGGAGGAGGAGGAGGAGGAGGAGGAGGAGGAGGAGGAGGAAAAGAAGGAATGTGGGGTCTCTGAGCTGGGTGGTTCTCTTGCAGATGTTTCATGACCCAACTAGGGAACATCATCATGTCCTACAAGTGAGGGGATCTGTGGGGAGGAAGACGAGGAAGAATGTGGGGTCCTTGGATGTCTCTGAGCTTGATAGTTTTCCTCCAGATGTCTCATGACCCAACTAGGGAACATCATCAGTGCTAGAAGGGAGGGGGGTTTGCGGAGTGGAGGAAGACAAAGGGAGGAGAAGGAGGAGGAGGAGGACTGTGGGGTCCTTGGTGCTCTTTGACCTTGGCTGTTTTCTTGCAGACATCTCATGACCCAGCTAGGGAACATCATCAGTGCTAGAAGGGAGTGGGGTTTGCAGGAAGGAGGAGGAGGAGGAGGAGGAGGAGGAGGAGGTGGAGGAGGACGACTGTGGGATCCTTGGTGCCCTCTGAGCTTGGCTGTTTTCTGGCAGACGTTTCATGACCCAACTAGGTAACATCATCAGTGCTAGAAAGGGAGTGGGGTGGAAGGAGGAGGAGGAGGAGGAGGAGGAGGAGGAGGAGGAGGAGGAGGAGGAGGAGGAGGAGGAGGAGGAATGACTGTGGGGTCCTTGTTGCTCTCTGAGCTTGGTGGTTTTCTTGCAGACGTCTCCTGACCCAACTAGGGAACATCATCAGTTCTAGAGGAGGAGGAGGAGGAGGAGGAGAACTGGGGTTCTTGTTGCTCTCTGATCTTGGTGGTTTTCTGGCAGATGTTTCATGTTCCAATTGTAGTCCTTGACTTACAACCATTTATTTGATGACCGTCTGAAGTTACAACAAAAAAAATTGTACTCATGACCGGTTTTCACCCCTACGACCGTTGCAGCCTCCCCAGGGCTACGTGATCAAAATTCAGACGTTTGGCAACTGACTCACATTTATGACAGTCGCAGGCTCCTGGGATCACATGTCCCCTTTTGCGACCTTCGGACTGGAAAAGCCCACGGGGGAATCCGTATAACGCCCGTGTGACTAAGCAACGGCAGCAATTCGTTTTACAACGGCAGCAAGCAAGATCGTCAACAGGAGGAGAAACTCACTTAACAAATGCCTCACTTAGCAACAGAAATCTGGGGCTCCAGCGGGGGAGAGTTGTAAGTCCAGGACTACCTGGACTTACAACGGGGGCCGTGTCCCAGAGTCACGTCACCCCCCCCCTTTGTGACTTTGGTGACTACGTCAAGCAGAGTCAACGGGAACGTAGGCTGCCCTTCACCACCTGGGCAATGTCGTGATTCCGTGCCGGCCTGTGTTCCCGACAGCTGAGTCCGGGGAATCAGAGGAGGAGATGGAGGAGGCATTTGGAGGGCCATCGGGGTCAGAGGGAGGCTCGGATGAATTACAAGACTCACAGTTTGATGAAGAGCCTGGCCCCTCCAGTCGTGTTCCGGATGAAGCTCAGCGGTGTGGGGAGAATGAGTCAGACTCGGAGGACTCACACCTGATGGACTTGCTAATTGATGCTCGCACACGTCGTCAATTGGCGAGAGTAAATCAGCAACAGTCAATACGGCAACTCCAGAATAAAAGGAGAAGGCAATGAGAGGCAACGCCTTGGGACTGCTGTATAAAAAGGGGAGGTGTGGGCGGTGCCGGTGACTGAAGGCAACCGTTGCAAAGTACTTCACGGGATCATGGTCTGTTCGTCTTGCCGGTGACGACTTCTCTGTTTTGCATCATGTTCCGTACGGACAATTTCCTCCCTTTGGATTGTGTTTTGCTGCTTTGATTTTCTGGACTATTTGGCAGGTTAATTACCCATATTAAACGGGATTTGTTTTGTTTTTGAGTCTCCAGCTTATTTTCTCAACAGGGGTTTGGCCCTTGTGCCTTTAACAAGGAGGGCGATAGGCTGGGATAGAACAGGTAATAATGTTGTAAAATGGGACAAAACAATAACCCTCTTGCTTAGGGGTTTGGGCTCAATCCTGGTCGTAAGTCGAGGACAGCCTGCATTAACTTCCGCTGCAGCTCGGCCTGGTGACGCCAACACAATCACAATCAATTGGTGACGCCAACACAATCACAGTTGGAATATTGTCGCGATTTCAACGCAGGCTGCAAATCCAGGATATATATTTTCCCCCTGGGAGCTTCTAATTATGATTTAATTGGCAGGCCTGTAAGAAGAGCTGATGTAACATGATACCCCCAGGATGACTCCAGTTCCCATCTTCCCGAGCCTTTGGACTTTCTGGTTGGGAGCCGTTGGGGTTGTAGTCCCGTAGGACCCTCCAAGATGACTCCAGTTCCCATCTTCCCCAGCCTTTCTAGTTGGGAGCAGTTGGGGTTGCAGTCCCGCAGGGACCCGCAAGATGACTCCACTTCCCATCTTCCCCAGCCTTTGGACTTTCTGGTTGGGAGCAGTTGGGGTTGTAGTCCTGTAGGGACCCCCAAGATGACTCCACTTCCCATCTTCCCCAGGCTTTAGATTTTCTGGTTGGGAGCAGTGGAGGTTGTAGTCCCGTAGGGACCCTCCAAGATGACTCCACTTCCCATCATCCCCAGACTTTGGGCTTTCTGGTTGGGACCAATGGGAGTTGCAGTCCCACAGAGACCCCCAAGATGACTCTACTTCCCATCATCCCCAGCCTTGGGACTTTCTGGTTGGGAGCAATGGGGGTTGTAGTCCCATAGGGACCCTCCAAGATGACTCCAGTTCCCATCTTCCCCAGCCTTTGGGCTTTCTGGTTGGGACCAATGGGAGTTGCAGTCCCACAGAGACCCCCAAGATGACTCTACTTCCCATCATCCCCAGCCTTGGGACTTTCTGGTTGGGAGCAATGGGGGTTGTAGTCCCGCAGGGACCCACCCCCCAAGCGGGGAAACGCCGGTCTGCAAGTCAGAGCCGTTTTTTAAAATTACCTTTTTCCCTTGCGTGGGATCCAAGCCCCTCCCCCAATTCTCGCAGGCCAATTGATGTTGCTGCTCATTAGGATCCCCAGGAAGGCAAATCCCCCGGGCTGGACCAGCCTCCCGCCCTAATTAGCCGCGGCTTGGGCTCATTAGCCACCCTGGAGCCCCTCCCCGCCCTCCCAGGGGGGCTTCTCCCCCTGGACCCTCCGCTGTCAGCAGGCGATGCCGTGCCATGCCATGCCAGCCGTGGACTCTAGAGGGCAGCAGACGCCGCTGCAAGCCTTCCGGGAGGCGAACTAAGGCGAAGATCCGCGTCCCAGGATCCCGTTGCAGGATCCAATCCGAGTCGGTCGCCGGGACCGGAGCTTTGTTCTTCCGAACTTTTGGACTCGTGCTGGAGTTCATATCTCTCGTTTTACTATATTGTAAACCACGTAGAATTAGCCCAAACAGTGAGATGGACAGGATGTGTGTGTTTGTGTGTTTGTGTGTGTGTGTGTGTGTGTGTGTGTGTGTGTGTGTGTGTAGAGAGAGAGAGAGAGACTTAGAATATGACATAGATAGATAGATAGATAGATAGATAGATAGATAGATAGATAGATAGATAGATAGATAGATAGATAGATAGATATGGATAGAGAGAGAGAATATAATATAGATAAGAGAGAGAGAGAGATAGAATATGAGAGAGAGAATATGACATTGATAGATATAGATGATAGATAGATAGATTGATTGATATGGATGGATAGATAGATAGATAGATAGATAGATAGATAGATAGATAGAATATGATATAGATAAGATAGAAAGAATATGAGAGAGACAGAATATGACATTGATAGATAGATAGATAGATAGATAGATAGATAGATAGATAGATAGATAGATAGATAGATAGATAGATAGATAGATAGATATGGATAGAGAGAGAGAGAGAATATGATATAGATAAGAGATAGAGATAGAATATGAGAGAGAGACTTAGAATATGACATAGATAGATAGATAGATAGATAGATAGATAGATAGATAGATAGATAGATAGATAGATAGATAGATAGATAGATAGATAGATAGATAGATGTAGGTAGGTAGATTTTGATTGAGATTGTCTCAAGATAGATAGATATAGAAAAAGAGAGATAGATTTTGATTGAGATTCTATAGCTAAAGAGAGAATCTCAATCAAAAGCAATATCTATATCTATATCAATATCTATCAATATTTATCGACCTATATCTATATCAATATATCCATTTATATCCCTCAATATTTATCTATATATCAATATCTATCAATATGTATATCTCTATATCTATCTTATTTTAATCCATCTTTATAAGTCACTCAATGTGGCAAACCTACCCAATGCTGCTTCCTCCTCCTCTTCTTTGCCACACCCACCACCCTACAAGGTGACTTGAGCCGAGAGAGGGAGAGACGGTCCCAAAGTCCCCCAGCCGGCTTCCATGCCTAAAGCAGGACTAGAACTCACATCTCCGGGTGCTTGGCTCAAAGTCACCTAGCCAGCTTTCATACCTAAAGCTGAGTCTAGAATTCCCCATCTCCTGGGGATTGGACTAAAATCACCCAGATGGCTTTCGTCCCTAAGGCAGGACTAGAACCCACCGTCTCCCGGTGATTGGCCCAAAGTCACCCAGCTGGCTTTCGTGCCTAAGGCTGTACTAGAACTCACCGTCTCCTGGTGAGTGGTCCAAAGAAAGATAGAAAAAGCAAAGAAGCAAAGCCATGATAAATCCTAGTTAGAGAAAATCTAGTCAAGAACTGATATGACAATAAACAAATTCAGTTATATTTCCATGTAATCCCATCCCCAGGAGCCAATGAAGTCGAGCTTTGGAAATATTTTCCTCCCGCTACGGAGATCAATCCAAATCCCAAAATTTGCAAAGAGTTTGCGGAAGGA